TAAGGCTAATTGCTAATCATTGTAGCTAAGCATAGTTTATTTAGTACTAAGTATAAAGTATAATTGCTAATTGTTAAGTATTAAGTGCTAATCATTAATTCCTAAGCATTAAGCATTAAGCATTAAACATTAAACATTAAACATTAAATATTAATTATTAATCACTAATCATTTAATCACTAATCATTAATTGCTAATCATTAATCATTAAGCATTAAGTACTAAACATTATACATATCTGTTAAATTCTATTCTAATAATAATAATAATAATAAAACAATAAAATAATAAATAATAATTATACAATATCAAAATAATAAACTAATAAAATAATAAACTATTCTATAACACTACTAAAAAAGAATTTAAATAATTTAAAAGAATTGCTAGTTCAAGCAAAAAAAGTAAGAAGACAGGATAAATTGGAAGAACAGAAAGAAAAAAGTAAAAAAGAAAACTTTAATACAGAGTAAAGAACCAATAACAACTAATAAAGAAGATAAAGAAGAAGAGAGAAAAAGATAAAAGAATTAAAAATTAAATTACTTGTAGAAAAATATAAAATAAACAGAAAAAAGAAAAGAAAGAATATTAGTTTAGAAATAAATAATATAGTATTTTATAAAAGTAAGATATTTTAGATAGTCAAATAGAAATAGAATTAGATAGAATAGAATTATTTAATAGTATAGCAGAAGGATTTTTAGATAAACTTGACTTATCAAACTTAAACTAAGACCTTTTTGAGGTTTTTAAGACTTTCAAGACATCTTGATAATAGCCTTTTAGATTAGAAACTAAAAAACTCTACCTAGTGCAACAGACTGCTTTTGAGTATCTATAGAGATAGCTAAAAGATATCAGGCCTAAATATTAAGCTCAACATTATGTAATCTACTTATATAATAATCTTAATAAAGGATCACCAGCAAGGTTGCCAAAGAAAAAAAAAAATAAATAAAAAAAAATAAATAAAAATCTATATAACTAGTTTTTAAATATACAGATATAGCAAGTAAAGGGAGTGCTATTTATTATATAATTTTTTAGAAAAGAAGAAGGGTTAGCAATTTATCATGTCTATATATTGAATATAAACCTTATAATTGGTTATTGAGTTATCATCAAGGGTGTGTGACCTTCTAATAAAAAGAAATTACGTAATAAACTGCACATCCCTAATAGAAAATTACTAAAGTTGCATATGTAATCAAATATACCAAAACAATTTGATAAAGTGCTACGTAGCATACTTTGCTAAGCATTAAAAAAAAAAATGCTAATATATAAATTAACTAAAATAATAAAATAATTTTACTATATTGGTAACTTAGTATTGAATTAGTAAAATTTAATTTTACCAGTAACTTAATATACTACAATAATGTTTTAACTTAACAATAAAAATTTTTGAATTTTATTTTGATTATTTTGAAGAATTTAACTAATTGTAACCCCGGATTAAAATTATAAATTTTAACCGTGCTCAAATTTTAATATTAAAAAATATTAAAAGTAGAAACAATATTAACAATAAAGTTAAAATTAGGATTCGAGTCAAGACTGGAATAAGGCTTTTTATAATGCTGAACATTTTACTTCAAGCCGTTTTTGAGAGGGGTGGTTATGTTAACTAGGAGAAATATCCTATTTTTAATTATACCGCTACATATTTTTTTTAATTATATTTAATACATACATAAATAATATTTATATTTTTTTTGCTGTATCTAATATTTAATTTTGAAAATACATTACTGTACTATATACATACGTACGTACTGTACGTACGTACGTACGTATATTATCAATCTATTTTATTAATATCAAAAATTATTTTAGCATTCAAAAACTATATTTTTTTTTAATATATACGCACATACTTTATTGGCGAATTGGCGAATTTAATTTCAACGTTATCTGTTATAATTTAAATACGTAATAAATTTTGTTTACATATGTACATGCACAAAAATCTCAATTATAAATTGTAAAGCTGGTATTTTTTTTTTGTACGCATTACAGGAAGTTAGTGTAATTGATCATGACGCGAAGTTTGATCAACAACATCCAACCAATAATCGCCACCACTACGTAGTATTTGGATGTGGGAGGACAAGGCCTCATCATGTAGTGAGAGGAATTCGTCTATATTTGATTTTCGAAAATCTTTTTTTTCTTTTAAACAACCTTTAAATACCCATAATTTATTCGGTTTTTCAGATTTAGTCAACTTTAAATAAGACATCTGAACATAAGGAATTTTTACAACTTAGTCAGAAGAAATGGAATCTGTCTGGAAAAGTAGAAGGTAGAATTTAGGACAGTTTTATTATTATTTCACAGCTTTAAAATTAAGATTGATCAAATAAAAAAAAAAAGAAAAAAGAGCAAAAAAAAAGGGCAAAAAAAAAAAAAAAAAAGACGAACCAGTTACGGATTACAGGGTAAATCCTTATTCAGTTGTATTCACACCACTGATTATTCATTTATCACAGTAACCGTTTAACCGTCAACACCGACCATAGTAATACCACAACAACGACTACGATTGCAACGGCGACGACTCCAACAACTACATCGTCGACAAAACTTATTCAACTTCAACGTACAAGTTCGCCAAATGGAGTTACTAGTGCGTCTGCTGTTCTTCTAACACCGACGACGCCCCTTGGAATGGGTTCAGGACTAATGAATAGTAGTAGCGGAAGCGGATATCTTGCTAAGCACCGTTTGAGCGTCACAAGTGGTGGAGGTGAGGATAAAGATCATAAAGAGAAAGAAAATGGGAATAGTAGTAATGGTTTGGTAATTGGGTTGACGCGTCAGCAATTCACACCAAGCCCCACAAGTGAAATTCATCCATTGCACTTTACGTGGGTGTTTTGGTTCATGCACCGAAGCCCTGGTAGTAAGATATTAAATTATGAAAGTTCGATGAAAAAAATCGCTGCCTTTTCTTCGGTAAATATTTATATTCGACAATTTTATTAATTATTTTCACTATACATGCCACAAAAACTATTTCGACATTGATTTTTAATATGAAATGCTTTGGTAACTCAGCGGTTTCATATCAAAAATCAATGCTGAAATAGTTTTTGCGGCATGTATCATTTTCACATCAAATAATAATGTTCCATGTCTCAAATTTAGATAGAGGATTTTTGGGCTGTTTATAGCCATCTTCGAAGACCTCACGAATTACCTAATATTAGTGACTACCACCTTTTTAAACAAGGTGTTAGACCAGTATGGGAGGTTTGTAAATATGATTATATCCTTTTTTAAAGCAACTTTTCAAATTAAATATATATAAAAATTCAATTAAATATTTTCACTACATATACTTTAACAAAAAAAAAAAAAAAACAAAAAAAAGGACGACACTAATATTAATGGAGGTAAGTGGATTGTGAGGTTAAAGAAAGGGCTTGCTAGTCGATATTGGGAGAGTTTGGTGAGTTGTTTCTTTTTTCTTTTTGAATTAAAAAAAAACCCCTAATTAATAACGATTGATTATAATTTAATTTTCTCGTGAAAGGTGATGGCAGTCATTGGTGATCAATTTGATGTGGGTACGGAGATTTGTGGAGCGGTGCTGTCTATCCGCAGTTCGGAGGACATCCTGTCCCTGTGGAATCAGTCTGCACATGAAGGAAGAATTAACTTAAAAATACGGTAGTGTTTTAAACCTTCTCTAATAAGATTTTAAAAATTTCACAATAATCTCAATTATAATGATTCCATTA